TTTTGCACTGGGTATTTTCATTCTACCATATTAGGAAACACAAATTCCAATTCTGGAATGATTACGAGCGTAAGTGTCCTCTAATAATAAAAAACAAACATGGCTGCCCCAAGGTTTGACCGGACCCCACACAAAGAAGTTTACTAAATTTGTTTCCTGGGAGGAAAGGTTATTACGAGGATACGGCAACGTATACATTCAGATAGTACATGGTCGCATCAACCTCCGCTGCGCAAAGGTCGATACAGTCTTTGTGCTTACTTCGCAGTATTCTCGTAATAATCTCATATTAATTTTAAAAATAGCTTCTATTGTGTTCTGAAAGTTTGAGTATGGTATAAAACTGCCATGCAGAAAGATGTCTGGTGAAAGCACTGTGTTGCATGCTTTCTTGAGTTACATGGTGACACTGTCTTGAATTTCTCAAAACATTCATCTCCTCTCTGGTCATAGCAACATTCACACCATATATAAAAAGTCATTACTATGTATTAACCTTTTCACCACCAGTTTTCATCAACAATTTTCAAAATAGTCCCCCCGCTTAAAGTCTGCACTTTCCTTCAGAAAATTGGGACAAAAATAGACAAATTTTTCGAGTAAAATCTGAAAATTGACACAAATTTTGTTTTTTGGCTCCAAAATTAGGGTTCATTTCTAGAAATATTAAAAAATATAAGAAAAAAGTGCCAATAAATTTGGGCAACAAAGTCTGGTGGTGAAAAGGTTAACCTACAATTGTACCTGTAGAAGACTTGACTTTCTACATTTGCTCAATACCCAATAATGGATTTTTCAACGCAGAGTATTCTTATTAACTTGAATGTGCTCACCTGTCATGCACATTATAGAAACCTTGACTGTTAGTTACAATGACATGTACAATGTTTCCCTCTCGTAAGCATCATTAAATGTTTTGTTTTAGGCTTGCTACAATAATTATTCCATTATGAGCACATAATAAGTAAAATCCACTAACTTTAATAAATCTATGTGAACATGTAAAATAAAAATAAAACTCATTGTTTCCTTGACAATTTTGTGCAGTTAAAACAGAGTGAATATGCTCTAAACATCAAAGTAGTGAACTTAAATGTTGGTGAAAATAAATGGTTTTATAGTATTATCCACATTTGGGACCGTCTAAGCATTCTGCAAACCTCTCCATTACTTTATTGTGTTTATCATTCCAGGAAGGTGCAAGCGCAAGGAAAGCACCGACACCGATAATCCAGCAAGACTCGCGGGCTCTGGTGCAGCCGAAGCCACAAGGTCCAACCAAGAGAGTATCACGTACACCAATTATTATCATCCCGGCGGCTACAACGTCACTCATCACTATGTACAATGCTAAAGATTTACTGCAGGATCTCAGGTGTGCATTCCTATAATGTCAAACATTGGCCGATAATTAAAGGTTACGCGTCCTGTCGTCGCACTCTCGAGTTTGAAACATGCCCCTCGCATATTATTTTTATCAATTTTTCGTACCAGTGTAGTACATCACATCACATGGTCAAATCATAGACCCTGTGGTAAAATAGAGAATTGAGGCAACTTGACTTGACCAGTTTCCAGTGAGTTTAGGGTGTTTCTTTAGTTTCTGTGCTCGGACTATCCTTTATTTTTTTGCCCATATTTTGGTGCAAAATTTTGACTGTTTTTATGTACTGTACTCGACCGCGTTAGCGTTCAGTGTCCTCAACTCAGAAAATCGTGATGGGGATGGGTGTTTACCCAAGCCCCCCCCCCCCTCTCTCGAAAAAGAGAGCCAGTATTCAGAAAAGTTAAACAATGATCAAAGACCAAGTTTTATGATTAGGCTGTCAAATTAGGGGCATTTTGAAGGGGATGGGCGCTCAGCCGAAAGTGAACCTGAAATGTCACAAAAGTGGGGGTTGGGTGCTTAGCCAAGCATGGGCACTAACGCGGTCGAGTACAGTATTTTTCTGTAATTTTTTTCATAATTTTGAACTAAATAGACATAATTTTTTATTGATCAAATCCAACATTACCAAAGATATAATAGAAAAATAAATTTTGGCGGGTAAAAGATGGAGTTCAAAAAGTTCAATGCCAATTTTGTTTTCATTATAAATATTATTATTACTATTGTTTGAATTTCTAACTAGATTTTTGAGTACAGACGACAAGAAAGGACAAGGAGCGAGGCGGGATAACGAAGTTTTAGTCCAGCGTAAAAAAGATCTGAACCAAGGTGGCACGATACAAACAGTCACAGTACCCTATAGAATAATAGACACACCATCAAAATTACAGCCACAAGATTGGTGAGTTGCATACCTATCCTACATA